TCCCGCTTAAGGGGGGGGCCGTGTAGCATAACTACCGACGTCGTTATATTAGATTTAGAATTAGATCTAACGCTGTAAGGTACGGACCTTACAGCGTGCGCGCGCATACCTTACAGCGCGCGCGCACCAACACGTGTACCACACGTGCGCTGTCAGCCCCGACGGCTGGCAGCGTTACAGTGCGGGCCGGCCCGCACTGTCTACAGTAAGCCGACTACAGTACAGTCCGTACTGTACTGTAGACGGTTAATTAACTTGTACAATAAATATAGGGAGCGACCGCCGGCGGAGTGTAGTATAATCACCCCCAACGACGAGGGGGGGTGAGTACTGACAGTTCGGAAAGACCCCGATCGGCGGGAAGACAGAAGCACGGCCCACCCACGGTACCGAGCACGGGCTCGAGGTAGCGGTGGTAGAGCGGGATCGGGGAGGACACGCGCACGGGCGAGCGGTTCTACGACTCGACGCCCCGGAGCAGTACTGGGTGACGATCCAGTACCGACGGGCGGAGGCGGAGCCGGCTCGTGGGCGTGCCGCGCGCGTCCTCAACCCGCGCGCGGTGCTACTCCTAGGTAAAACGGACGGAAAATACCTGAGAGTAAGCGGGCGGACCAAGGTGGAGGATCCTTGACAAGTCTGTGCTTGTCCCCCCTCCACTGCCGGCGGTCCGCTCATATTTAATGTACACAATTGTCTATGATAACACTACAGTACCGATGTACTGTAGTGGGCTACTGTAGTGCAGGTCGGCCTGCACTGTAATACTGTCAGCCGTCGGGGCTGACACTACACGTGTGCGCGCGGGCTGAGGTACTGTAGAGCTCGGGCTTTACAGCTGCAAATCTAATCTAAATCTAATTCCGGGAGGAGGATATGCTACACGGAGGGGACCGAGGACAGGCAGCCCTCCACCGACGGTCGACCACCCAGCTTACTCTACGCACACCGCCGTTCCGCGAGTAGTTACCACCGAGTGGGTAGTGGACGCGCGCGACACCGCGGCGAGCTGCGATCCGCCTCCGCCCGTCAGTACCGGATCGTCAACCGGTACTGCTCCGGGGCGTCGAGACGTCGATCCACTCGCCTACGCGCGCGTCCCCGCCGACCACGCTTTACCACCCGCTACCGGCCCTCTTCCGGTGGCGTTGGTTGGTTCAAGACCCTCGGTACGCCGATCCGGGGTCTTCCGCCGAACATCGCAAACACCCCTCCGCCGTGTGTGAGGTGTTTATGCGACATTTGGTTCGCCATACTAGGCGAAACGACAACAATGTTGAGACGAGAGAGGTGGCTAGCTGGAGTGCGTCGTAGCGAACGGAGAGCGGTAGGGATAGTGCGGGAGGGGTCACTCGGAAGACATGCTCAACTCTGCAAACATATCCTGTCTCGCGGTGTAGGTGAAAACGCATTCGAGCATCCGTCATTGGTACAGTGTAGCATAACAGCCGGAACCGTATGACACGTGGCACATTTCGTGTTCGTGCGTCTGGGCCAGCACTATTGGAATGGAGGCACAAACAAAAGCGGCACTAATGCGTAGGACCCACTGTACACTGTGCAGCTCTTGATTGAACTCGCACTGTACAAGTGCATGTCGGATAAATTACTGTAACGCGGGGGTTCGGCGGCTACAGACTGTACCCTTCCTGACCGGGGCAATTTGGGAATCGGGGGCAATTTGGGAATGTTTAGTATTGCTCTTCCAGATTTTCAAGTACACCCCGTTGCCATGCTAGCGATAGTCATACAAGTTCCTTCGTCCTCCCTCGTTGCCCTGCGATGCAGAAGTCCGCCAAAATTCAAACTCCTGTAGCCCCACGGCGTCTCAATGCTCGTAAAACTGTCTTCTACAGCACTGCCATCATGACTTTGACTACAAGTATTCGTGCGTCATGGGACTCTCCATGCGCATGCAGCGTGCAATCGAAAAAAGGAGGCAGGAACGCGACGCATTTATAGTACAATTGCGCGGAGGCGACGGCGCCACCGCTGCTGCCCCGGCGTACAGTGATCTCAGGTGTAAGCGCCAGCACAACCGTAAGGAGTTGTATTTACAGCTGGTGGCCGGTACGGAGAACAGTAATACTCCACCGGCTACACGTGTGTAATCCGTACGGTCATAACTAGTAATTAGTAGTTAATGGCAGAAATTTATTAATTGTGTACAGTAGCTGGTATACAGTAAGTAACAGCTACTGTAGCAGGACAGGTGTCCTGGCGTCCCACTTAGGGGTTAAGACCGGGGGCACCTGCCCCGTCCCAGTAAAGAGGAGGCAGACTTGCCTCCCTTCCCTTTACGGCTAAGTGCTAACACCGTTCCGGTTTTCCTTTAGCTCGGGCTTCTAACCCGTTACCGGCCATCCGGTTATAACACCACCTACCGGCTGCGCGTCACCGGCCATGTGAGCCTTCCCTCTTTTCGAGTCCATCCGTACGGTTTTTATCCGCGCGTGGGTAACCCAGCGTCGCGCGCTCCCTCACCTCTAACCCCCCTCGTTCCGAGTGGTCGGGACGAAGGTATTTATACCACAGCATTCATGAACAAGCAGCTGGAAAAAGCCACCGCACTCCTTCGTACACGTACTAAACGGTCTGCCGTCGTGAAAGCGACAAATGTACCTCGCACAACAGAAGATCGGATTTATCACGCCGTAGAAGAGCGTGATGAATCCAAACTCAACGCCCTTCTATCGCCAGAAGCCCACCGCAGAGGACTGCGCACAATTTTTACTGAACAAGAGTCAACTTTGATAAAGAAAAGGATTGTATACGCGGCAGAAAAGGTTTCTGCACACTCAAACGGAGATATGAGAAATATAATGACTCAGATAGCGTCTGACAAACGTCCAGGATTTCGCACAGAATCTGGCAGTCCGTCTCAAGACACCATCCGCCATTGGCGTGCAAGTGAATAGAGACGTCACTTATCGAAAAAGTGAGAACAAAGACGTCGCAAAGTTGGCGGCTGAAAATTTCACCCATGTGTCAACCTTTTCAAATGCATTGAAAAAAGTGCAACATGCTAATCCTGGTACATTCAACGACCCCTCCGGCCTTGGGAACTTCGACGAGACAGCTGTGGACTGTCAATATAGGGTAAGAACTAAAAGTATTTGGGTCCTCACGCACTAATCACGGTGGGTATTTGGCTTGTCAAGCTAGAAAAAAAACAAGCATATAACGATTGTGGTGGCCGTCTCGGCCTCTGGTCGCAAATTCCTCTCTTTTCATTGTAGAAAGAAAGAATGTAATGAGCGGATGGATCTCTCCGCTCAAACAGACCGAAGTAATATGCCCTTCCGTACAATCTAGTAGATTGTCTCAAAAAATGTGGTTTGAGAAGGGAACCGTAATAATTACAACAGACAGGGGAAGTATGGAAAAGAGACTCATTTCCTTTGTGATAGAGCATGTGGATACATTTGTGACGAAGACCCTACCCCAGGAGCTTTCCTGCTGTGTGACTCTTGACGGTCACTCGTAACGAGAAGGTTTCGAGTGGCTCGAGTCGTGCAAGCAAAAAAAAGTGCGAAGTCGTTCAGTCTCCTTCAAATACGACTCACTTCTTGCAACCCTGCGACCAGGACATAAACAGTGCATTCAAAAAGGGATGCACAAATACCAGGATATGATTCATGAACAAACAACGCTCGACATGCGAGGTGTGCGTGCAAATCTGATGGTGGCGATGTTGGCTTACAGTGGTCTCACGGTGGATAAGAATAAGTTAAGCTTCGAAAATTCGGGGTTATGGCCAATGGACTACTCCTTTCTTAACAGGCTGAAGAGACCAGCACCAGATGCGGTCACATGTGACCCAAAAAGTGGCAAAGTCGCTTCCCTAAATGTGACAAATATAAACCCGGGACCGCGACAATCGGACTTTTCGTCAGCTCAAAAAAACTTTGGAGGCTGGCAAAGAGCCTCCAACGGGACGTAGGGATGTGGAAATGCTTTTGCGCAAAAGCAGAAGTAGAAATAAAATCCTTATGACAATCACGCATTTCTCGAACATAAAAAGTTCCAACGCAGGCAGCGAGAAAAGTGTGGAGTTGCAAAAAGATACACCTGCTCTGTACTTGACTTTGGACAATATAACCGAAAGCGGAAATGAGAGAAACGTAAAACTTGCTGCTGAGAGGCATCTCAAAACTGAGAAGAAGGAACAGCGGGACCGCAGTCGAGCCCAGATGCGATTCTCGAAGGAGAATCGCCGTACAAAGTCAGCAGCTGAACCAACATCCCCAGCCCCGCTGTCTCCCCCACAGCCTGAACGTTTTTCTCCGACTTCTGGGGCGAGATTCGGCGCAGCAATGAGTAGAACATTGTCGAGGCAAGCGTTCAGTAAGAATTTGATGGCTGAAGAGAAAGTTATGGAATCTCTGTCATCGCTTTCCAGTACATAACTAAAATCACCAAATTGCCCTTTTTTGTCATTTGAGCCCTTTTGGCACGTATCGGAAAATGTCGAATGGCTTCCAACAGGTTGTTTTTGCCAGCGTCTTTTCCTCGTGGATGGCACATGGACACCCGACTGGCTGGAACGGACACTTTTGGCTGCTCGGGATAGTGACATTCAAAACTTGTGGGGCTCTGCCAAAAAAATTCCCAAATTGCCCCGGCCAGGAAGGGTACAAGTGCATGTCGGATAATTTACTGTAACGCGGGGGTTCGGCGGCTACAGACTGTAGCCTACAGTACTACGCCGCAGTGAAGTACTGTCCGGCTCGGTACAGTATGCCAGCATGCCAGCATGCCAGCAGGCCAGCGTGCAGGGAGAGTGGGACGTGCGCTAGCGAGGAGTTGACCAAATTTAATCCCAAAACATAGCCACTGGCTTCATCGACATATTTCCGTAGCATCCCCCTTTCCCTCCACCCGACTCGACCCCACACCCACAATCATTTCCCTCGACACAACGCACTCTACCTGCCCTCCCGTCTAGCGCTCACTCTGCACTTTCACCTCCACTCAAGCATCTTCTCCTTTCCTCAACCATGTTTTCAGTCTTTGACCGCAACAAGACTTTCAAGCCGCGCCGCAAGATAGAGGCCTCCAACCCACGTTACGAAGTACACAAACTCGCACATGAAGTTTTGAAGGCTTCTCTCGACACCGGAAACTTACGAGAGGCTGTCAAAGTTCCCGACGGCTACGATGTCAACGACTGGATCAGCGTCAACGTCGTCGACCTCTTCAATCAGGTCAACCTCATCTACGGTTCTATGTGCGACAAATGCACCTCCTCCTCCTGCCCCGTTATGTGCGCCTCCCCAAAATACGAATACCTGTGGGCAGATAATGACCGCCACAAGACCGCCGTCAAGGTCTCCGCCCCGAAATACATCGGCTTGCTCATGGATTGGGTCGACAAGCAACTATCCAATGAGGCTATGTTCCCTTCTATGGAGGAGACCAAGTTTCCAGAAAACTACGGCTCTATCGTCAAAACCATTATGCGTCGTCTTTTCCGTGTCTACGCTCACATTTTTCACTCCCATCTTGACGAAATTGTAGCCTGTCGTGCTGAAGCTCATCTTAGCACGTGTTTCAGACACTTTATGTATTTTGGCTGGCTCTTCAACCTCTTACCCCCGAAAGAGCTCGAACCTCTGAAAGATGTCATCGCGTCTTTGTAAACTGCCTAATCATCGTCTCTGTAAGGTCCTGCAGTTTCCTCGCCGTACGGGTTCTGACCCATATCGCACGCCACCTTCCCATTACTCAAAATCATCGGGTTTTCGTTTTTTGGATGACTTGCGCATTTGTTTCCTGTTCACCGCTGTCGACCCCGTATATTTGCTCACTCCAACATCCGTTTCAAACGGCATCAATGGCTCCCTTGTGAAAACCCCGACACCTCTTGGAACCCATATCCTCAACCGTACCTTCCCAGGTCCTGTCACAGATATCCATCCCAATCCAGACAATACGATATCCACGCATGACTTTTTCCAGCTCTGTCCTTCAGCGGTAAATGACTTGCTCGTCCATTCCCCAAGTTTCTCGAGCCCTTCCTCAGAAAAGGGGGGAGTAAGAAAGTCACCAACATGTCGATGAAGAAATTCATGTGCCCCGTCGGCTCGCCCTGGATGTATTTTCACCGTTGGCGCAAAAAAGCAAGTGAAAAAGAAAGGCTTCCCAGATACCACTTCGAGTCGTGCCAGCCCACCAATGTAGATCGCTTTGCCTTCGGCAAGCCGAAAAGTGACGTTTTCCACAGATTTTGAGGGAAGCACCGCTCGGAGCTCTTTGGCATCTAAAAAGTTTGTCAACTGGTGCGAGATCATTAAGCCGGGCGTGTCATACAGGTTCACTTTCCCACCGAGGGGAATACGGATAACGTCTAGCGTCGTCCCAGGGACAACACTTGTCGTTATGGTGCCCAGTGATGTCTTGTCACGACGAGGACGCCCATCATCTTTAGAGCGACTACCGTTCCCCTTTCCCTTTCGAATTCGCATAAGTCGATTGATAAAAGAAGACTTCCCCACATTTGCAGCACCAATCACATACACATCAGACCGCCGTTGCTTAGCAATTCGTAAAGCATCAGCAACCAGTTCTCCAACACCTGTTCCTTTCGTCGACGAAACTAAGTGAATTCCAGCCACGTCGTGCAACCCCATGACCGAGCACTCATGTTTGATCCATCCTTCCACTCGAGACGCTTTGTAATTCTTTGGAAGCAGGTCGACCTTATTTACAGCCAGTATAATAGGGTTTTTCTGTCCGATGATGTCTTCCACAGAAGGAATAAAAGTGCCATGGAAATCGAATATATCCACCAGGAAGATGATGACAGCATTCACATTCCGAAGACGTTCCAAAGTCCTTCGAAACTTTCTTGGAGAAAGCTCACTCAGTCCGTCTCCGGAAGACTCTTTTTCTATATCTGTCTTGTCCGATAAACTCGACGTCCGGGGCAATGGAAATGTTCGCTTTGGCTTCACGCGCAAGTGACTCTCAATTTTGCCGTAGTGGGTTAAGCGGTAACATCTTTGACACACCGGGTCCTTTTGAATTTTCGGAAGCTTGGGTGGTGCTTCGTCATCCTCAGTAATTGGAACTGGATCGGGAAGCGGGTCTTCTTCCACGACAGTCGGAGGTACGTACCCGGGTCGCTCTGGAGTGTCGGACTGAAACATGGAACCACACCCGGGACACTTATTTCTAACTTGCTCCACAACAAGATCATGCGGTATGGTTGAAAGAATATCCAATCGCCTGAGATACGCTTCTTTGGCAGCCGCGGCTTGTCTTTCGTGCGGTTTCATGTCAGTAGTGGATTTAGCAGTGGATTTAGCAAGCGTATTCTCGGTTTCTAGAGCAATTTCGTCAACGGAAGAATCGAAAGCCGCAAGCAGCTCTTCATAATCTGCGGTGATAGCAGATGGTTCTGGCGGCCCGGAATTTGAAGTTAAGTGAGCGGATGCCGGAGATGGGGTCGCGGTAAGGTCTGAGCCGGTCATGTCGTCTTCATTGCTTGGTGTCGATGCGACGCATCTAACCGGTTGCCTTGCTCGCAAATGACATGTTCTTGGCAATGTGGCAGCTCTCACAAACACAGGTGACGATGGCAAACGCATTCGAAAAAAACTAGATACTTGAAAGAGATATGCGGGTGACTGCATTTTGGGTGATTACAGGTGGTTGCAGACTCAATAGCAATTCCTTCTGCCGACGCAGAAGCAGAAGCAGAAACGAGGATTGATGTTCGCAGCACCGGCTCGGTATGACGGCGTGATGGTGAGAGGCAGTGGCCGCAACAAGAATATCTAGACGATAGCGGAATCTGACACCACAAACGGGTTCCCAATTGCTTTCGGTTCTCAACAAAGGCGGATGAGGAGACGGCTTCTGGAATTCTGTCTTCGTGCAGACCAATACGTGGTACAGGGTGATGGCACACGGGGTGGTTTTTTCTACTAGCGGGCAATAATCTCCGCAGCGGCTTATCCTTATCCGTCTGATCCGGACGGTGGGCGCGAGCAAGGGAGTAAGGTTCGCAAAAACATATAAATTCGCAGATACTGTATGCTGTACAGTAATGTGCTCAGGGAAATCACAAAAAAAGCCTCATCGGTTCGACAGGAAGCGTAAATTAGAGCTTCTCTGATACAGTATACGGCTCAAGCAATCACCAATGCAGTGTGCACAGTGCAGCAGTAGGGTACCCTTGGTACAGTATGTACAGTACCAAGGGTACCCTTGGTTACAGTATACGTACTGTAGTGTTGCACTACCCTTCGAAGAGTAACTAGAACCCAAGGACACCCTTGGGATTCGCACGTGTTCTGTACCCTTGTGAGGGCGTTCGACGCTGGATTACATGAACTTTATGTATCTGCAACACAGCTTCGGCACATACAGTGTATAGACTTTACTGTATGGGAGTGGCAGACGGCAGGGAATGCTTTTCAATTCATTGCAACTAGACAGATCGTGGGATGGGGGCCTGGTCAGAGCTGGGCAAGTCTTGCCCCGTTACCGGTCCCATGCTTTGCGCCACGAGTTGCAGGTCCTCTTCCCAAAACCTCGTCCACAATCGCCTCAACGCACCGGCGTATGTCACACTCCTCCGACCACAATGGGCCTTTCTCTCCCACCGAAATGGCAAACCATGCCTCTCCGCGCCCTCCAAAAAACCCTTCGTCGCATCGCCAAGCACAAATCGAAGGCGCCGATTCCATGTTACATCTTCCGCTGACAACTACACGACTGTTTTGACTGTGCCCACCGGAATTGGTGCTTCGATTGGCGGTTATGCAGGCGATGCACTCCCGGTTGTGAGACTGATTTCAACGATTGTAGACACAGTCATTACACACCCAAATGTTCTCAACGGCGCTCTAATGTATTGGCCCCTCCCGAACGCGCTTTATGTCGAAGGATTTGCTCTCGACCAATTTGCGGCGGGCAATTACGCGCTATATCACTCTACAAACAGGTCCAATCGGATCGGACTGGTTCTTGATGCTGCCATGCACCCTGACGCTATTCTTAGGCACAAGCAAGCAGCGGAGGCCGCAAGGGCTACCCTCGGGCTCCAAGTGACAGACTATGTAATCACAGATCTCCCTCTTCATGTGAAGATAGAATCTAGTGATTGTGGGCCCTCCTGGGGACAAATAAGTAATCCCGAGTCCTTGTTGGCAGCCTCAGCCCGGCTTATCGCACGCGGGTGCCAAGCGATTGCTGTCGTCACAAAATTTCCAGAGGATGAAGACCCCATTCAATTAGCAAAGTATAGAGCAGGCGCAGCTGTCGATGCGATCGCGGGGGCTGAGGCAGTAATTAGTCACCTGGTAACGCGAGAATTGCATGTTCCGTGCGCACACGCGCCTGCTCTTTCGCCGTTGAATGTGGACAGCTCTGTGAGCCCCAAGGCAGCAGCTGAAGAACTTGGGTACACCTTCCTATCCTGCGTGCTTGTCGGGTTGTCAAAAGCCCCGAAGCTCATTCCCACTGCTAGGTCTGATGCCCAGCCCGACTTCAAGGACATCATTTTTGCAGAACAAGTCGACAGTATTGTCGTTCCAGCAAGCGCGTTTGGGGGTAGTGCCCTTATGAACCTTGCATCAGCTAAAGATGCTCTAGTTATCGCTGTTGGTGAAAATAGAACTGCCATCAGCGTCTCTTCGCGATGCGTGGGGATCGAATCAGAGAGGGTTTTGTTTGTCAAGAGCTACGCAGAGGCTGCGGGATACCTAGCTGCGCATAAGGCTGGTATCGAATTATCCTCGCTAGGGCCTTTCGTCCCAAGACTATTCGAGGTGAAGAACTAGAACAGGTCGTGATCTGAAATGAACCCATCGTATTTGCAAAAAAAATGAAGAAAAGAAAAGGTCTCAGAGAACTTCGAACGCTGTCATCTCCGTCTAATGAGACCCTGGAGTTCTTTCAAGCGTCCCTCCATCTCCGACACGGCTTGTCTCAAAATTGGAATGTCGCGTAAAACCTTACGACCCGTATTCGTCTTTTGCACAGTCAAGCGCGGACCAAGTAAGTATGAAAATGCGATACCCCCTAAAAACCCCCCGAGATGTCCAAAGTTATCCACGCGAGAGCCAGGAGTCAGTCCAATTCCAAAGTTCATAATGACAACATATGCCAACGACCGTAATCCTTTCCGCGCCCGTGGACCCAGGATCTGACGGTGGCGCCCTAACACCACCAACGAAGCGCCAACTAAGCCAAAGATAGCTCCCGATGCTCCAACAGCTGGCGTGGGACTACAAAAGTACGATAGAACATTCCCACTCACTCCCGACGCAATGTACAGAGACAAAAAACGGGGCTTTCCAAACCATGACTCTACTGAAGGTCCAGTAGAGTGAAGAGAGAAACTGTTCACTAACAGGTGGCTAACGCTCGCGTGCAGAAACATCGGTGAGAAGAGACGATAATACTGGCCAGCAGTAATCGCACTGTTCACTTTCGCTCCACGCATTAGTACATTGGGTCCCATAAGCGTTTGAAGCGCGAAAACGCCGACGTTCAAAGCCAGTAGCACGTGAGAAATACGAATTGAACTAAAAAGTCTCTTCAAAGAGTAGATCGGGTTTCCCTCAAGCCTGGTTCCTTCTCTACGACCAAAATCGCGCCGTCTCGAAATGAGACTAGTGCATGTCAATATAGAATCTCCACTACCTCCCCCCTCCGGATTCTCCTCTGAGCAGGTAAGTTTTTGTCCGGAAGAGCCGCCACCCCGTCCTCCGAAACCTGAGCCTAGTGCAAGACGTGGCGGAAAGGTGCGAGCAAAAACTCCTCGACTTCGTTTGCCACAGTACCCTGAGGTTGAGCAATTCGGAGCTCCGATATGGGTCAGGGAAAGCGTAGATCGCCCCGTAGTAAAGGCCGTGTACTGCCTGCAACAAACTCGATGATGGATGTGACATTTGCTCTGATAAGTATGGCGAAAATTCTGATGAACGTCTGTTCGAATACCGATGCAATGAATGAACGCGATTACCATCTCGAGGTAGGAAGAGTAATGCAATGAGTCTAGCACACCAGCCAGATTTCAGAGATCATGCAACCTTTCTCCGAGCACATTTCAACAGAGATCAACCTCTGGAAAAACGATACCAAAGTCGCTGCCACGTGTATGTCGAGACTTTCGGGCCGAATTCTCATCATCCGACCATCTCAAAAGAAGAAGATATTTTCTGTTATCTTTTTGAGCAGCTCTGGAGTAAAGGGGGGGTCCCCCAAATATTGAACGCGAGTCATGAATTTAAAAGAAAAAAAACTTGTCGTTGTCTGTTTCGGCTAGTTCCAATGACAACGCAGATCTCTCGGGGTAAAGGAGGGTTGCCGGAATTTTCGGTCACCCGCCCCAACTCGTCGGTCGCCCCTAATTGTTTTAATAAATTCCCGAAAATCAGATTCTTGTACACATAAGAGCATCTCCAATGGTTCTGAACAAATCAACAAAATACTTAATTTGACAATTTGGTCAACCAACGACACCCCCAACGGTACGAAAAAAAGGCAAAAAAATAGCAACTCACAAAAAACTCGTGACCAAATCGAGCTGATTTGGTCCGATGCACATCGCAGTCAAACTATTTCACTTTCCAAGTGCCGATCAGATATTGGATGAAAATTGGCGCGAAGACCGAAATACTCTACAGCCCACCGTACATCACCTCAAACAATCCCTCCTAGCATCACCAACACCCACTTTCTCACCCCGGTTGACATCCCCGACACGATGTCACATTCTGCAGCATCCAAACTGGACAAACTTTCAATTTATACTGAGACCAACACAAAAAAGACCACAAGGGGGTCAAGTTTCATCTCGACTGAAAATGCGGCCATTGCTAAGGCCTGGATATCAGCCTCGGAGAACCCTGTTGTAGGTGCTGAGCAGAAGAGTGCTTAGTTCTTTAAATGCATCGTTAAGCTCTACAATGAAACGTTTAAGCCGGCCAACAGGGAGTTCACTTCCATGGAGTCTGTGAAAACAAGGAGCAGGGCCATACACAAAGAATTCATGCGATTCTCTGGATGCCATGTCAGAGTAGTACGTTTACAGCCAACAGGGGCTTCTACGGGTGATATTTTAAACATGGCCACCGCATTGTACAACAACTTGGAGATGGTAAATTACTGGGATGCTTGCCGGAAACCATTCCAATTCATGCAGGCATGGAATATCCTCAGGAAGCATGACAAATTTATGGCTGTAGGGGTCAAAGACAGTGGAGAAACATCTAATAAGTCGGTGTCAACAAAGCATGGGGCATCTAGATGGAATACAAATGGTGCTACTGTGCTTGAAAGCAATGAGATTGAGCTATTACCGCAGCAACAGCAAAGATCAATAGGTCGAAAAAGAGCGAAGCAGGAGAATGAAAAATCAAAGGTTACTTCAAAAAAGTTGCGTCTGGCTGCCGGGACCGTTCAAGCACAACGTGAACGCATCAGGCTTTGAAACGACATTATGAAATTATGTTGTTTACAAGCGCCCCATCTACTTGTGACACAGCGGAGGCTGTTGAATCCTTCAATATCATGCGAGCTCGCCCTTTGCAAGACATCCGCAAAGAAGAGGGAATCAAGGTATCAGAAAAGGACACATCAAGCGGTTCTGCAGTAGAAAGCGAAGCGAATGAGAGCGATTGAGAAATAAACAAATGGATCACAACTAGTCGCCGTGCGCTTTTTGCGGCCTCGTTCCTCGGCCAGCCGCCGCTCCCGCGGACCTTGCACGCAGCCGGGAAAAGAGCACATAGCGCGCGAAGCGTGAGGCGATTGCGATTATTCCCTCCCTTTCTCCGCCCAAAGATGTTCCATGACGAGCATTCTAGTGTTAAAATATTCTACTTCATCACTTGTGAAGCGTGAGAGAGCGCAAATAGCTGCAATAGTTCCGGGGGGATGGTGCGATCCCATATTTCCACCACTAGCCCACATTGGAACTGTTCCGTCTCCGATTACAATATCACTCCCTGCAGGTTCAGTAGAGTTTGTTGCATCTCTTCCGTAAATGAGATCTTCTACCATCATGTTATGCAGAAGAACACAACCTTTCATGATGACCTTCATAGAACGCGTGTACCAGAAGCGGCTCTGTCAAGCGACGATATGCCATTTCCTCTGTAAAACCACGAACGCTCTCTCAACATCCTTTCTAAATCCTTCTTGGCAGGCGGCCATGAGCTTTTCCTTTCATGTTGTCGGTTGAGAGACTGTCTGTACAAAACAAGGCCACCTCGGGTAAATTTCGTCAGCTAACCAGTAAGGTATGCTCCGCTTTTCCCCGTTTATCTCGTATTCGTGCGATGGCGGATATGTTCCGTCCGCAATCTTGTTGGAGAGAGTTGAAGCTTCCAACACATTGATGTCGGTAGCACAACCTGGTATGCCAAGGAAATAATGCCATATCCAAAGCTGGTCATCTGCTATGACCTCGACCGTTAGCGCTGCCTCACCCTCTTTTCCTTGATACTGACCATGATACGCAGTTGGACAGTTCTTCCAGTACCATTTTGCACAGTCAATGCTCCCCATCATACCTGGTAACCCCCTCGCTTCTAATCTATCCAAAATCCTTCGTAGGTCCACGTCACTAGGTGCTCTCAAATACTCCTCGAAACAACACACGACGCCATCGCAGAACCTGTCCAAACACTGCAGCACAGTTGACTCGCCGATACGTAGATATTCATCCAATGAATCTGCAGCAGATCCATACGCTAACATACGCAATGCTGCAGTAGCTTTTTGGTAGTAAGTTAAACCTTTCCTACCAGTACAGTCTTGGCGCTGTGTAAAGAAAGGATCATGCACTTCAAGTGCATCTTTGATTCTTTGAAAAACTTCTCGAGACAGCCGAAATCGCCTTCGGAAGTGTTGGTAGCTGTACACAGGGGCTTCCGCGAAATAGTCTTGAAACAGTCGCAGAGCAGCTGCTTGTCTTCCTCGTTCAAGGTTCGGAGCCCTGCCAACACGTGAGCCACCATGTTTGCGCGGCATGTCGTCATCAGTGCTGCTAGTGAGCAGCGTATCAACAAGGTAGAGCAGCCTGATCCTCAGCCATCTCCTCGACGTACGGGTTGTCCATGTGAATAGCGGTTCACCGCTGGGGCTGACCCTGCAGAGGCCAAAGCGCTATCTTATCAAATATGGCACATCCAATTAATATCATACACGTTTCATTTTCTTTTTTGTAATTTGATCATTTACCTCTGCGTTTGTGGAGATGCTCTAAGGGGCCAAGTTTCAGTCCTTGGACTATCTCCTTGCTGATGATCCCTGGAATTCGTAGATAGATTTAAAAAGAAATCGTTCCAATCGCTCTGGCAGAGCTTTGTACGACGTCCAACCAACCCGCCACTTGGCAGGAATGCAAATGAAGTGCATTCAAATCCCTCCGAAAAGGCAGGCTGGGGCTCTTTGACCGAATCTTACTAACTGAACCCCTCAGGGACGCCCTCAACGCCCATTCAGATCCCATCCGAGCCCTTCAATCCAAGATTCAAGCCACTCTCCGGCGATTGCCCCGAACGAGGCATGGCATGCGATAAGCGGCCCTCTATATTGTTGACACCGGGTCTCTTGGCATGCGCATGGTATCTAAGTGAAGCGACATTGCATACTACACCTCGCATTCTGCTTTGCAGTTAGGCAAAACAACTGTTAACTCTGTCTGTCGCTTCCCGGCTTTTAATGAGAGAGTAACTTCTGATGATCTCTGTTCTTACCAAGATGGCAGCAAGAGGTATTCCTCCGGCTAATGAGCACTTTTCCGATGTTTCCGCCATTACTGATAGTCACATGGTACCTCTAAGGAGTCTTCGAGTTCCCTTTAGAGATGTAAAGGCGGGACGAAAGTGGCTCTGAGGCTTTCAGGCACGGCATCGTAACACATTGATATTCGCTAAACCAACGCGCCAGAAAGTAATATGATTTGCTGCTTGCAGTGCTGAAGTGCCAACATCTCACATTGCATAATTGGAACGCATTAGTGTCGACAAAAACATAGATTCACAACGTGTATTTAATTTAAATGAGTGTGGCATCACACCGTCGGTATATATCTTCTCAAGCGCAGTGTAAGCTCTGCATCACACAACGGAGCACTGTATATAGTCGTGTTAGGCACTGCAAGTACGATGACCGTATAACTGTGAAGGCAGTCATTTCTGCGGCTTAGACATCTGGTTTAGCGGGGCGCAGGATTAATAAAATGAACAGAGTGACTTACTTGTGTTGAATGGTTTTTGCAAAGCGGTTCTTAAGTTGGACACACTTGGGGTTGCAGGTTGGGTGGGCTCTCAGGGTTAGTGAGTGGTTGTGCCTGCCCGCTTTTGCTTTCCCCGTCCGAACTCCGCGCCTTTTATAGAAATCGTAGCTGAAACTTAGAACAATACAGTACATGCTAGACTACAATAAACTATCCTTTCACTCTATAACTAATCTCCATACAATTGCTTATGTCCTTGCCTTCAATCTCCCAGACCATCCTCTTTAATACTAGTGGATACTGTACTCCTCCTTTGACAATTCTTTTAGGTATGGCATAGAAATTGTATTGGAAGTCTATGCCATCCTTTTAAAGAATGGAGGAGTCAGTACATTCGGGAAGGACAGGCACAGTATGTTTATACAAAGTAAAATTAGAAAGACATACATACTGTGCTTGTCCTTCAACCGTTACAACTCCTCCCCCTTCAAGATGGTTATTCGTCCTCGAATAAGCCTCGCGGTGGGTAGTAAGTGATGGAGTCGAAGTAACGTTGAATAGAAGGTTTGTGGCTTGGAAGGTCTTGTTTGTCAATTCATTTGTCTTGAAATATGTTTCCTGAGTTTTCTGATACTAAGAATTTCGATAGAGTCTTGAGTGCCGCGGTGGGAAATGATGTCAATTGTAGGCGGCGTCCTGTTTTCGGTCTGAAATGTAGACTCGCGGCCGATAGTTCTTCTATGTTGATCATTTTAGTATGGCCTGAGAAGAGATATGTG